CAAACCAATAGACGTCTATTCGAGTCCAATGTGCGGAAAGCTATGGGCGGCGGACAGATAGCCAACACTTACTTCGATCGATGTTTAAGATCATAACAACAAACACTTCTCTTATGTTTTTGTCAGCGAAAAGTTAAACGATTTCCCAATTATTTCATTGAATATTATTATACAAATTAAAGGCTTATCTATAGAAGTGTTTATTAGAATTGTTTTCTTTTTTTTGTGATTTTCATCGATTTGTATATAAATCATAATATTGTCTAATATTGACATTTCGGTCGATTTAAATAAATTTGATTTCTCAGAATCTGTGTATTTAAATGCTATTCGGTGTCAGTCTTACAGTACGTCTATTGTAAGACAACACAAATAATTGGAGAATTGATTGCAAACACAATTCAAAACATTACTTTATTTGATTAAAAAACATAAAATTGGAAATCAATATAATTGCAAGGTTTGAATCGATTAATTTAATTTAATTTTTAATCATTATATTTTAAAATGAATATAATTTGAATGAATTCATAGCATATCTATTGAGTAAAAGTCATACAAATGTGGTTTTAGTCGTCATTAAAATGGGAGAATACGCTCATAATATCTATTATAATGCAATTTAAATAATAATTATCGTTATATTCATAAGACTGTACTGTATATCAAAGCAAAGAGAAATCTAAAGTATATAACAGTTATTCTAAAGAAAGCGTTAAAATTGATTCAAACATTATATTCACTTTTTAAATAATATTTGTATGAACTAAAAAAGAGATTATATTTATTATAACATCTAAACGCGTGTTACGAGAGGGGAGCGCCGCCGAAGTTGAAACACGCGGGAACGTTGGCGTTCGCAAACACATACCCACCGCTCTTCTCAATCTGTCGCGACTCTGTTTGCATTCAAATTCAATTTATAGTATCATTAATGGCACCAAAAATCACTAATCATAGCTTGTATTTGCTTTGAAAATATTATTTTCCAATAGTCATCAGAAATATTCAAGAATTTTACAATTTTCAATGGATTCTTGACTTATTCCTCAATGACTTAAAAATGAAAACACATTCAAATCAAACCTAAGCACAGATTGTATGGTAAAGAGTACTAACCGGCGGCCGCTTTCCTTTGGAGAGCCAAAGTATAAATCTCTTGAATAGATTTGTGCTGCACTTCATTGAGGGGTGAAATCAAGACGTTATACCAATTCGGGTCCTTTTGTTGAATGGTTTCGAGCAGTTCTCTGAACAGAATGTATTCGTCGTCTGAAGTGTCGGCCGAATCAATAGCCGTCGTATAGGACTCTAAAGCAGTCATTTCAAAGGCGTCGTCGTCATCGTCTTCGGAATCGATGTCCGACTCTTCCTCCTCTTCGTCGTTGGCTTCCATGAGATTGGCTTCAGTGACAGGAAAGGGACAGTTTTTACTAAAGTTCAGCACCAGTTGCCTGTACTTCGAATTACCTCTCACGCCGTCCTCGTCGTCATCCAAGTCTTCGACGTCGTCTCCGTCGCCCTCGTCGTCGGTCACGGCGTCTGAATCCGAGTCCGACTCGTATTCGTTCACTGCTCTCGACTTATAGGCCTCGCGGAGGCCGTCAAACAGCAACAGCAGAGACGGCACTAATTGGTTGGCCATTTCGGTGAGCGCTTGCGGGCGTTTGGACGAGTCGAGTGCCATCAAAGTGCAGAGTCCGAGGACACAGATCTTGCGGTCGTGAAGGCCAAGAAAGCAATGCGTGTCTGCAATCCATTTGCTGATGAAATGGTTGACGAGTGACTGATTAGAACTCGGAGGCTGTAAGCGCTCTAAGATCTGAAACGTCAGGTTTGTGTTGTAAAAGAGGGCTGCGATCACCACTTGGAGACAGATTGTCCTCAAATCGTCGGACTCTATCTTTTTGGTCATTCGAGTGACGGCCAGCTCTACGAACGACGGAATGCAAGTGTCTATACGGCCCCTGAACTGCAATATTATGCACTCCAATAGCTTCGCGCCGTGACATTCAACCTCTTCGCCGGCCGTATCGGAAGTCATAATGGCTTTACTCATCTCAAAGATGGCCATAATGTTGGCCGGATTGGCGATGAATGCCTCGGGATCTACAATAATGAAGTTATGCAGAGATGGCATCATATCAGTGAAGTAATCGAAGCCGTCTTTGTTGAAGATCTGATACATCATTTCAAATATCTTCCACAGGTTTGGAGATATGCTNTTTGATTCACTCTCACTCTTATCACTCGTTTTTGTCGGCAAAACAACTCTAAAAACACTCAATCAATGCATTCAATGCAAACATCGTGTTTATAACATTGTGTCCACACCATAGACAACGTTCCCATTCAACGCCGCCTTTGCCCCCAACTCACACACACCCCGACTACCATATCGTTGTGTTCGCCCCGCCATCCGCTCACAACCCCATCGCACGTCTTCTATGAATGGCTCCGTTGTATGAATTGCTGTGACATCTGTTGAATAACTTTTTTGATGTCTAAATAGTTTTCAAGTTTTTGTTAATTTCGTTAATTTTGAACAAAAATAATTAAGTTTTACTAAATTTGTATCACTTTTAAGTTTTTCATTAATTAAATTGCATTCAAATCTATATATTGTTAACAAATACTTGCGTTTAATATATAAGAAACTTTGAATTTGATTGCAAAACAGCTGTAATAGTAATCGTCGATCAAAAGCTTTAATTTGTAAAAATAAATAACGTTTTGTTTGGATGTGTAAAACGAGAGCCCTTTTTGACGATTGTATTGCTTTGAATGCATTGAAAAACGTTGTATTGTTAGAAAGGGTTTGCGTCAATACAAGTGGTCGTTATTATTGGAGAGTTTGGTCTATAATATGTTGAAATTAAGAAATCTCTTCTTCCCTTTGCAAAGGCCTGAAGTATGTATTGTTATGAATATTGCCATTCAATTCACTCAAACCTGTCGTTCATTTAACGCGTTTTGCCATTATTTTAAATTGTATTTATTTTATATTGATTTTTATAGTTTTTAGATCTAGTATTGAGTGATATATTAGTGTTTAGTTTAAATAGTGATTTGCATTCACTTCTCGGGAAACCGTTTTAATTGTTTCAAATTGAAACTCAATAGCCATAGAGTGTGTGTTTTAGGGAGAGTTTGATCAGTGATTTGTAGCTCACATTTGGACATCAATTATGATTAAATTGTTTTCATTGAAATCACAACAAAACCAGGCGTCCGGACAGTCGGGTCAGACCCCCAGAGGACGCAATACCGCCGCACAGATCCGCATCACTAAAGGTATGTCACTGTCTGACAGCGCTGTCATCACATCCACTCATCTCTTTCTCTCTGCCCATTGCCAGACATTAATGAGTTAACGCTTCCCAAGAACTGTGTGATGGTTCCCGACCCGGAGGGGGATCTCTTGAACTTCAAGATTATCATCTGTCCCGACGAGGTATTCAACGTTCAATATCTTTGTTTTCCCTTTCAGTTGTCATTTAAATATGAGTTTTGTTTAATTAACACGTTTTTAGTCTAATTGTTATCTAATATTTCACTAATTGATTGCAATACTGATTGTAATCGATATGTTATACACATTAGAGCGTGTATTCAATGACCATCGATGCGATGGCAATGACATTGAATTCAAGCACCTAATGGTCTGAACAATAATAACATGATAATAATGAGTGGTATGTGTTTGTATGGACCCAATAGGGCTTCTATAAGGGCGGAAAGTTCTCGTTTAGTTTCAAAGTATCGCAAAACTATCCGCACGAACCGCCAAAAGTGAAGTGCGAGACCCGTGTCTATCACCCGAACATCGATCTCGAGGGCAACGTTTGTCTCAACATTTTGCGCGAAGACTGGAAACCAGTGCTGACCATCAACTCAATTGTCTATGGCTTACAGTATCTGTTTCTCGTGAGTATTCATTTCCATTAGTTGTATATTTTTAGTCAATTTATTTATGAATTTTTAATCATTTTTATTGATTATCGATTATAAAAATGAGTGTTTGTTTTAATGGGAAAAATAAATGCATTAATGTTGATGTGAAGCATATTTCAACATTTCAGGCATTTTTTACATGATTTCATTGCAAAAGATAGGGTTATAGTGTTTGTATTCATAAGCTTTTGTGCAATCATTTTGTGTAATACAGTGTTTGATACGAATTTCTTAGTGAGCTGTGAATGGATGCGATTGTATAATAAAATGTTAACCAGTTTTATATTTCTTATGATTGTAATAATAATTATGCATTTATAAAACGAATACATTTCTACATAACATAAATATGAATATATTATGCAAATATAATAACATATGAATTGTTGCAATGAATAGGAGCCCAATCCGGAGGACCCCCTAAACAAAGAGGCGGCGGAAGTGCTGCAAACCAATAGACGTCTATTCGAGTCCAATGTGCGGAAAGCTATGGGCGGCGGACAGATAGCCAACACTTACTTCGATCGATGTTTAAGATCATAACAACAAACACTTCTCTTATGTTTTTGTCAGCAAAAAGTTAAACGATTTCCCGATTATTTCATTGAATATTATTATACAAATTAAAGGCTTATCTATAGAAGTGTTTATTAGAATTGTTCTCTTTTTTGTGATTTTCATCGATTTGTATATAAATCATATAATATTGACATTTCGGTCGATTTAAATAAATTTGATTTCTCAGAATCTGTGTATTTAAATGCTATTCTGTGTCAGTCTTACAGTACGTCTATTGTAAGACAACACAAATAATTGGAGAATTGATTGCAAACACAATTCAAAACATTACTTTATTTGATTAAAAAACATAAAATTGTAAACCAATTTAATTGCAAGGTTTGAATCGATTAATTTAATTTAATTTTTAATCATTATATTTTAAAATGAATATAATTTGAATGAATTCATAGCATATCTATTGAGTAAAAGTCATACAAATGTGGTTTTAGTGGTCATTAAAATGGGAGAATACGCTCATATCTATAATAGTGCAATTTAAATAATAATTATCGTTATATTCATAAGACTGTACTGTATATCAAAGCAAAGAGAAATCTAAAGTATATAACAGTTATTCTAAAGAAAGCGTTAAAATTGATTCAAACATTATATTCACTTTTTAAATAATATTTGTATGAACTAAAAAAGAGATTATATTTATTATAACATCTAAACGCGTGTTACGAGAGGGGAGCGCCGCCGAAGTTGAAACACGCGGGAACGTTGGCGTTCGCAAACACATACCCACCGCTCTTCTCAATCTGTCGCGACTCTGTTTGCAATCAAATTCAATTTATAGTATCATTAATGGCATCAAAAATAATCACTAATCATAGCTTGTATTTGCTTTGAAAATATTATTTTCTAATAGTCATCAGAAATATTCAAGAATTTTCAATGGATTCTTGACTTATTTCTCAATGACTTAAACAATTAAAACACATTCAAAGCAAACCTAAGCCCAGAAAGTATGGTAAAGAGTACTAACCGGCGGCCGCTTTCCTTTGGAGAGCCAAAGTATAAATCTCTTGAATAGATTTGTGCTGCACTTCATTGAGGGGTGAAATCAAGACGTTATACCAATTCGGGTCCTTTTGTTGAATGGTTTCGAGCAGTTCTCTGAACAGAATGTATTCGTCGTCTGAAGTGTCGGCCGAATCAATAGCCGTCGTATAGGACTCTAAAGCAGTCATTTCGAAGGCGTCGTCGTCATCGTCTTCGGAATCGATGTCCGACTCTTCCTCCTCTTCGTCGTTGGCTTCCATGAGATTGGCTTCAGTGACAGGAAAGGGACAGTTTTTACTAAAGTTCAGCACCAGTTGCCTGTACTTCGAATTACCTCTCACGCCGTCCTCGTCGTCATCCAAGTCTTCGACGTCGTCTCCGTCGCCCTCGTCGTCGGTCACGGCGTCTGAATCCGAGTCCGACTCGTATTCGTTCACTGCTCTCGACTTATAGGCCTCGCGGAGGCCGTCAAACAGCAACAGCAGAGACGGCACTAATTGGTTGGCCATTTCGGTGAGCGCTTGCGGGCGTTTGGACGAGTCGAGTGCCATCAAAGTGCAGAGTCCGAGGACACAGATCTTGCGGTCGTGAAGGCCAAGAAAGCAATGCGTGTCTGCAATCCATTTGCTGATGAAATGGTTGACGAGTGACTGATTAGAACTCGGAGGCTGTAAGCGCTCTAAGATCTGAAACGTCAGGTTTGTGTTGTAAAAGAGGGCTGCGATCACCACTTGGAGACAGATTGTCCTCAAATCGTCGGACTCTATCTTTTTGGTCATTCGAGTGACGGCCAGCTCTACGAACGACGGAATGCAAGTGTCTATACGGCCCCTGAACTGCAATATTATGCACTCCAATAGCTTCGCGCCGTGACATTCAACCTCTTCGCCGGCCGTATCGGAAGTCATAATGGCTTTACTCATCTCAAAGATGGCCATAATGTTGGCCGGATTGGCGATGAATGCCTCGGGATCTACAATAATGAAGTTATGCAGAGATGGCATCATATCAGTGAAGTAATCGAAGCCGTCTTTGTTGAAGATCTGATACATCATTTCAAATATCTTCCACAGGTTTGGAGA